TCATCCACCCAAACTCCTGGTTTTTTATTTTTTTAATTTTTATTTTTTTCCCCCCACAAAATCCCCTTGAGCTGTAAAGCACATCTGGATAATTTTAGGCAGAAAGGGATTTTCCCAGAAAGCTGGAAGGGGAGGGTGGGGGGAGGCGAGGGGGCTGGTTATATTTGGAAACCTCTTTTTGGGCACGGAGATCCCGTGGCGGCTGCAGCCTCGTGGGGTGACGGTGCGGGGCGGCGAGGACGGCTGTGGCACTGGCATGGGGAACAGCCCCCGGGAACAATTGGTGGCCACGGGTGGGTTTTGCTCCCTGCAGCTGGATTTTGGGGGTGTGCTGGTGCCCATCCTCCCTCAGCTGCCCTGGGGACCTCGGTCAAATCCGCCGGAGATTTGGTCCAGTGGCTCCCGGGCAGCTCTGGACACGGCATTGCCCAAAAGCAATGGAAAGGCTAAAAAAAAAAAAAGAAAAAAGCCATTTTTGAAAAGGCAGAAAGCCCCGAAGGCCTCGGGGCGCAGCCAAGTGTTGCTCGGAGGGGCCGGTGTTGAGGGTAAGAGGAGGCAGCTCATCAAGCCCTTATTAGCACAGGAACTGCTGACTGCAAATTAACGCGCCAGGCTCCGGCTCGTCCCGGCCGTACTCAAGCACAGCCACGACGAGCCCTTTAATCAACTCAGAAAGCAATTTGTTCTCTGTTTATAACCTTGACAAGCGCGCGGGTTATTTTTAAGCACACACTGGCAAAGGCAAAGACAATTCCCAGTTGGCAAACCAGCTCCAGGCAGGGGGGCAGCCCCCTGGCAGCCCATCACCGCAGCCCAGCCTCGGGGCGGCTGCCTGGCGCCGAGCGGGCAAAACCCTTCCCTGAGCTCCAGCCCTGTGGCCTCCGTGTCCCTGAGTTGGGGGCACGATGCCATGGACAACATCCATCACCCCTGGACATCACCCATTGCCCTTGGGCATCATTCATCACTCTTGAGCATCATCCATTGCCTTTGGACATCACCCATCGCCCCTGGGTATCACCCATTGACCCTGGACATCACCCATTGCCCTTGAGCATCACCCACTGCCCTTGGGCATCACCCACTGCCCTTGGGCAACGTGATGCCTTGATGCCGTTGCCCCAGGGTGGCCGCACTCACCCCATTTTCCCTGCATTTTACTCTGGTGAAGGTGAGAAGAGCCGAGCCGGGCGCAGGGCTCGGTATCGGAGTAAGAACAAGAGCCTGGCACGACGTTCCCCCCACGGGAGGGTGAGTAGTGGAGGGGAGCAGTGTTGTAGGGACATCGCTGGCCCTGCCTAGCCCCTTCCTCCTGGAGAGGGCTGTTCCGTCCCCGAGAAGGGAGGGTGAAGGAGATGGTGGGGAGGATGGCAGAACCCCTCTTGGCAGCACCAGCTCCCCCTGTGAAGGAGGGGAATGTGCCTGGACAGCCCATTTTTGGCCAGGAAAGATGCCCAAGGTGACCTGGGCACCAGTGCTGAGCCACCAGCCCAGCTTTCAGCCAGGGCAGCTCCCTCCCTCGCCCCCACAGCATTCCCTGGTGGGATTTGTCCTACAGAGCCCCCTCCTTTCCCAAGATCACCCGCACCCCGCGGTGGGAGAAGGGGGACCTGGGCACCCCGGAGCAGGAGCAGCTGCCTCTGAAGGGCTCCCTGTCCTTGGGTTTGCTGCCCCAGCAATGCTCAGACGTGCTGGTGATAACACAAGTAGCAGCAAATTCGTTAATGCTTTTCTAGACAGCAGGACCCATGGGGAGACGAGGCCACCTCCTTGCCACGGCCACCCCAGTCCCCTCGGTGCTGGATGCTCTTGGGGACAACGGTCCCACCAGGTCCCCCTCGGCTCGGGACGACACCATTCAGCGCCTGCCCTTCCAGCTGACTTAAAGCAAAGCCCAAGTTTACGGAGAATTAGCCAGCCCAAGGAACATTATTTTTCTTTATTAGGTTAAAGGGTAAGCAAATACAATCAATCTTGTCATGTATCACGAGACGTCAGCAACTTCCCACCTCAGCCAGAAAATTACCGGCTCCTAAGTGGGTTGTGGAATTACATTCATAACCGCAGAAAACAAATACATACGTGTATATTTTAATGAAAACACTAAAGGTCGCAGCATCACATCATCATCAGGACTAGGTTACTTCCCAGCTAATTTAATCAACAACCAAGCCCAGGCCATGGAGGAACCCCCCCTACTTGGAGGAATATGTTGCCCACATAGGGAAAAGATGTTGGTGATGGGATCTGCAAGAGACATCTCGCCGTGTCCCCACCCTGGCTCAGTTTGCCTTCTTCGTTTAACAGCTTCCTAATTAAATTCCTCTCATCCCCATCCTTCCCTGGCTGTTGCTGGTGCAGACAACCTGGCCGAGCTCCTCTTGGAGACACACCAGCAGGAGGGAGCCCATTAACGGACCTAAGCTCCAGTGTTGCTAATTGATGCTAAGGAAGTAACCAAGCGGGTGCTGATTTCCCAACCGAAACTTTAGGAGGAGGGACGGCATCTCCTCTCCCCTGTGCCCCATCCCCTGCATCCCACCATAGTCTCCTGCATCCCATCGTGATTCCCTGCATCCCACCGCTGTCCCCTGCATACTCCCGTGGTCCCCTGCCCCGGCAGCGCAGGATGCTCCCCGCTGCCCTGGCTCCGTGCTGGGTCCCACCGGGCTGGGGGGCGGCCGGGAGTGAGGGGAGAGCAGAGCCCTTTTGAGCTGGGAAAACAAAGAAATAACCTTTGAAATCGCGGCCGGTCAGAGCCCGAGCCGCCTGCCAAGATGCCGAGCGGCACAGAGAGCCCGGCGAGCAGCCAGGCTGGGAGTCAGCTGGCAAACACGGGGCTGCCGAGGGCAGGGGACGTGGCCACGCGAGGAGGAGTGTGGGGCCGAAGGCTTTCCTGCCGGGCAGGATGGAGGATGTGTCCCGGCAGGGCCAGCCGCGCCGGCGCGGGCACCGTGCCACGGAGGAAGCCGAGTGTCCTCCCCGGCACGGCCGGAGGCTGCTCCTGCCCCTTGCCTGACCCTGCCGGGACCCTGCTGTCCCCACGGCCAGCACCGCGGTGGTCACCGAGCCACGGCTTCCCTGGCACCGGGCTGTTTGTGTTCCTGACACAAACCTGTGCCCTCCTCCCGTGGCAAGGGACAGGACCGGGCCACCCCCATGGCAGCACCGGGCAGGGTCTCTTCTGCCGCTCCGGGGCCTCAGCTCCTCTGTGTCCACACGTCAGGGACAAATCCCAGAGGAAAACTGTTGGGTGACACGGTGGCAGGAGGAGGGGGCTGGCCCAGGCAAGCCCTGCTGTCCTTGTCCACCCTCCTAGAGCCCATGTGTGGGGCGGGTGACGACGGCGATGCTGCCCCATGTCACCATGGCTGAGGTGGCTGATGCAGGATGGAGCCTTGCCCTGGAGACGCTGGTGTGCGGGGGGGTCTCGGGCACAGCCCCCTCCTGGAGATGTCCTGCACACAGAGCTGGCAATGCCCCTCAGCCCCAGCCAGGTCACCCTCTGTCCCCATCCCACCCAGAGCTTGCTGCAAGGTCCCTGTCCCCCCTGTCACCCCGCAGGCAGGGACTGCCTTTCCCAGCCCTCAGACAGCGCCGTTTCCCAGCATTTCCCCTCCAAACCTGCTGGGGGGGGGGCCTGGCTGCCCACCCCGGGGGTCATGCGAGCAGCCTAAGCCCCGGCTTCCAGTTGAACCCAAATACCCTTAAAAAAAAATAAAAATAAATCAGCGTGGTTTTTTCCAGCAGGGCACCGGGATGCGCGAGGGCAGCTGCAGCCCCCCCTCTGCCCCCCCGCAATTTATCTCCCCTCCGAATTGTGAATGAAGGAACTTTCTCCCAGAATAAATCCCGAGGTCTCACCAGTTATTCCAGGGCCGGTCTCGGTCGCCGGCGTTTCCGCGCCTGCCGAGGCCCATCGCATTGTTTTCTGCTGCTTTCCTTGGCACGGCCCCAGCTCGGGGTTCAGAAGTTATTACTATAAAAGTCAAATTGCTTGGTCTGGGGAGGGAGAGGGGATGGGATTCCTGGAAAGCCTCCAGCCAGGGATAATTGGAGCTGCGCGGGGCTGGACCGGTCCCCACCGTGCTCGGGGGACTGGCCGGTGGCCAGCGGGAGCCGGGGCGAGGAGGAGGAGGGTTGGGGCGTCCCCCCAGCAAGATGGGTGCTGCCGGGGCTGGAGGGGCCCTGGGGGGCTCCATGCTCGGTCCCTGCCATCTCCCGGAGAGCCCCCTGGCCATCCTCCTCACGGCCCCTCCAACCCGCCCTCACCCCCTCCCATTTAATGCTGGTTAATTCCCCATCTACGGCACTAATTACTTTCCTGCCTTGGCACCAGGAATATCCCCCCTGAAGCTCTGAGGCGTTAACGTTTTATTTCCCTGCTAAAACTTCCTCTTTTGGTGTCTGCCACCCCACCTCTCGCTAAAGTTCAGCCGTCCCTAAAAGCAGCCATTCCTGCCCCTCGGCACCAGGCACCCCACGGGCTTGCGGTGGAGCTGGTGACAAGGTGCTGGTCCCCGTCCCACCCCGAGCAGCTTCTCCCTCCCTTGGCCCCTTTCCCACCCCCTCTGTGGCCAGGGCTTGTCCTGGACCTTCTCCTGGAGGCAGGAGCAGCTCAGGGGTGAGGGACCCTGCTGGGCAGGGGGACACAAGCCACCGCCGTGACCTGGTGGGACCGTGTCCTGACTGCTGTGTCCCACATCCCTCAGCCTGAGGATTTTTTTCTCCTTTTTTTTCAAATGATTTCCATGAAATGGTCCTGCTGCTGTGTCCGTGCAACCTCATTAGGATTCACTTTGCTCTCTCTCTCCCTCCCTCCAGGCTGCCTTTTTTTATTATTCCCATTATTTAAGGCTGACCTTACAGCAGTGACCAGCATCCTCCTGGCAGATGGAGCTCCCCCCACCCCTCCTCGCTGGCCCCTCTGACCCGAACCCAGAGACCTGCCCTGGTGCTCCCCTTCCCCAAACCCCCCCTCCCAGCACCTCAAAGGCTCTGTCTCGGGGAGCTGCCTCGGCCGGGACCCCCAGGAACACGGGCAGGAGAGAGGACGTGGCTCAGCTTTGATACGAGCAGCTCGTACGCCTGGAGCAAAATCATCAATGGTGGGTATCTGCTCAGCGAGGTGACTGTTGGCCAGCGAGGCTGAGGGGGGACACGAGCAGCAGCAGGTGACCTGGCTGGGGGACCTGGTGGCAGAGGTGACCTGCAGAGCCGCTTGAAGGAGGGCATCTTGGTGGCATCTCCACCAGGAAGAGCCTGGCACTGCTCTGGTGGTCCAGCCCCACTCAGCCCCCCGGGCACATCCCCAGCCCCTTCCCCACCATCTCCTGTGGGCAACGGGATGCTGCGCTCCCTGCGACGCTCAGTGAGCAAATATAAAAGCATTAACAGCATAAAGAAGAAAAATGTGAGGAGAGGAGAGCAACCAGGGTGAGTCCTGGCTGCCGTGGCAGCGGGGGGGACGGGCAGGACACCCTGCCACACAGGCACCGGGGGTCTCTGCTGTCGGGACCCCAGCCCAGGGCTGTTCTGCACCTCAGCGAGCCCCCGGGCACGGCTGCTGGGGAAAGGCTCTGCTTCTGGGGGCTTAAACCCAGCAGAAAGCACTCCTGGTGGGGCACATCCAGGGGGGTGAGGTGGGCTCCCGGCTCCTCCGGACACTTTTCCCACCTCACCTTTCCTTTTCGTCCCCCTCTGCCACCCCTCTCCCACCCCCACTGACCCCCACACCTGGTTCCTTCCCAAAGGGACAGGGCCGTGATGCTCCCCTCGCCCCGGCACGGCTGCCGTCCCCGTGGGACATCCCCCCGTCCCCTCGCAGGCGGCCACCGTCCCGCGGGGCAGGGGAAGGCAGAAACAGGAGTGGGAGGAAGGGGATGATGGAGCGAGTGACGGCACGTGCGGAAGAGCCTGCGGGGAAGGGGCTTCCAGGCCTATTTTTGCCCAAAAGAAAGTTGCAATTAATTTGCAAAGGAAGTCGCTCGGCATTAAGAAACCCTCCGGGCACAGCCCGCACCCAGGGCAGCACATCACATTATTTTCTCGTTTAAAAGCCATCACCGTGGTGAAGGGGGGGGCTGCTCCCCCCGGGCTGGCGCTGACGGAGGGGGGATGGGGAAGGGGGGCAGAGGAGGGGGTGGCTCTGGAGGGGCAGGCGTGTTTGGAGAGTGAGGGAACAGAAATTAACCTTGGAAAGCATTCAAATTAGGCTGTGTAATAAGAGACCCACTTCTCTGGGTAAATTTGTTGGGATTAGGGCTCACTGAGCTGTTGAGGAGAATTCGGCGTGGCTCGGAGCCAGGGGGAAATGAAGCTCCTGGCTTGGTCGGCTGCGGGAAAAGTCCAGGCTAATGGGCTTTGGTTCAGACTTTGATAGGAAAAAAATCCAGGAACAAAGGCACTAATTCTTCCAAAAGCCCCCAAAATCTCAGTTTATACATTTCTGTTTATGTTCGTTCATAATAGATATACACAGCTGTTCTTATCATTCATATTCAAATTCCATGTGCATCTTTAGCAGTTATGACTCCTGCCTCAAAAAAAAAAAAAAAGCCATGTGGAAAATTTTAAAAAAATACCAAACAAACCCAAAACCAACCTGCCTTGGGAGGGGGTGAATCCTCCCAGCATCTGTGTCCGTCCTGCCCCCTGCTCCCGGCACCCGCTGGCGAGGATGGGATGCTCTGCAGACCCCAGAGGAGCAGAGGGTCCTGACCCGCTCCCTGGGTGAGTGGAAAGAAACTTCTCCAAATCCTGTGGGTTTAAGCTTAAAAAAAAAAAAAAAAATCATGTTTTTATTTTTTTTAAATGTATTTGATTTATTTTTATTTAGTCTTTTCTTTTAAAAAAGTGTCTCTATCCCGCATTTTCCTCGCTTCCTGTATAACTTACCCCTGGACTCCAGGCTAACGAACAGCAACAACAAAAAAAGGCATTTCAGTCTGTTCACAGAACATTTGCACCTTTAAACCGTACTTCCTGATCCCCAGGGGTTGCTTTTTCGGACAAACCTAGTGCTGCTGAGTAAAGCTCCTGAGTCAGAGGCGGCTGCTGGGAGGAGCAGGGGCGCAGACAGCGCAGGTACCTCACGTGCTGTCAGTAGGTTCCAGAGTTAATCCCGCTGAGGAGTTCCCCTCCTGGATCCGAGGTGTTGTTCTGTGCGTCCCGGGGAGGGGGGCAGAGATGATGCTGTTGATTCTTGGGATTATCAGGGGGTGGCTGAAGCTCCGTCCCTCTGCCAGGGGACGTGCCACACGTGGTACCTCACGGGGGGAGAGCGGGAGCAGCAGCAGTGGGACTGGGCGGCTGCCACCGTCCCTCCTCCTCCTCCTCCTCCTCCTCCTCACCTCAGCCCAGGCGACGTCTGGGCTGTCACAGGAGGTTCCCAGCCCGCTCCCAGGGCCAGGAGGGGGGTGATGTGCCCCCGCAGAGCAGGGAGCTGCTGCCGTATTTACATTCCAGCCTAAATTGGCTTCTCCCTTCATCTCTCACGCATCCTGTCCCCATCCCCGTCCCCTCCTGCTGCGTGACCCCCCGGCCACCGCAGCCCCTCCGTCTGGTTGAAATATCCTATAATGGGGAGCTCATGTCTTCCAGCCGCAGGAGACGGGGAGCATCAGCCTGGGGACAGGGGACAACTCCAGCCCGGCCAGCCAGGGTCCCTCGGCTGGTCCCCCAGTGCCTGGGGGGGTGCCCAGGGTGGTACCAGCTCCTGCCCCCCAAACCCACATCATTCCCATCACTGAGGGCACAGGTTTAGCCTCTAAGGAGGGACACTGGGGCACATCTCACAGGACGTCACCCCCCTGGACGTGTTCCCTGCTCACGCAGCCCCCGCTGGGTGTTTGGGTGCCACGAGACACGAAGGAAGGTGTCACCCCGAGGCCGAAGGACCCCCTCCGGGCTGCGGGAGGGGGGCGGAGGGGTGGGAAGCCGGGTCACCCAGCCGTCTCGCATTTAACAAACACACACACAAAGACCTGGAAGCAATAAATCCAGAGCTGGGACTGCAAAAACCAAACACGGCTGCAGCCCCCCCTCGGAAGGGGGAATCCAGAGGAAGAGGATGGGGAACACGGACACCCAGTGTCCCCCCTGGCAGCAGGGCTGCCTGCAGAGCAACCAGGGTGCTTTAGAGGGGGTCCTATCAAGGTGCTGTGACAAAAAATCCAGCCCTCAAAAGGCAGGTTGTGCTGGTCCTTTTGGGCTGTTGGTCACCGAGCCCCAGGGATGCACAGAGCATCCTCAGCAGCAGGGTCCTGGCGGGGCTGGGGGTGGGGGCAGCCATCCCTCACCCTCCTGGGGAGCTCAGGGGATGCAGGGGGAGGACGCACACCCTCCAGGTCCATGGCATTGCCCACCACCCCACACAGGGGGTGCCAGCAGCCAGAGACCCCCCCAGGGGCCGTGGGGGCTGTGCAGGGGGGTTCCTGGCTGCTGCCCCGGCTGGGGGCTGCCCCGGGGGTCCTGCTGTGGGACGGGGCTGCTCTGAGGACCCTGCCTGCATGAGGGGTAGTTGGCCAAGCACCCCCGCCATGGGTGCTCCTGCCTGGGGGTGCAGACCGGGATGGGATGGGACAGACAGGACGATCCCTGGGGTAAACAGCCAGGAGCTGCCAGACCCTGCTGCTGCAGCTCCTGCCAGGTCTTCCCAGCACAGTTATCCCCCCCACTTCTGCCAAACCCCCCCTTTCCCACTCCCCGCCTTGCTCTGGGAACCATTGCCGTGGCTGTACTGGCCCCACAGAGACCCTCAGGCTCCCCTGCGGGGACGGGTGTGTGCCCAGGCCACCGGGACTGTCCCCCCAAGCCACCACAGCTCGCTTCAGGAAGCCCCCATCCCCGTGCAGGAAGGGGCATGACCCTCCTCCTCCAGAGCCCAGGGGAGCCCCGGGATGGAGACCCAGGGAGGAGGAGGATGAGGAGGATGGAGAGGCGGCAGCATGGCTGATGTCAACACAAGCCATTAGTGGGACCCCCAGGCAAGCCCCCACCTCCCCATGGCCACCCCACGCTGGTCCCAGCTCTGTCCCATCCCTGCTGGCTGGGAGGGCAGGCTGGACGCCCACTGCCCCCCACCCCAGGACCCCACTCACCTGGCTGCCAGCTCACCTGGGGGGCACCCGGGCATCCCCCCTCGCAGCCGGGGAAGGCGCAGCAGCATTGCCTTCTCCTTCCAGCGCCCGGGCGAAGTGCTGTTCCTGAGACAAAGGTGGAAACATCAAATCAAACGGATGAGTCAGAGGAGAAGTTCAAAAAAGGGGAGCGCGGGGAGAAGCAGGATCTGGATCTCCCCTCCCACCTGCCAGCAGGCAGGGGCCTCGCGGGCTGGGAGCCCATCACCGCAGCCCTTCCTCACCGCTTCAAAGCGGGCGCAGACGGGATGGAGCAGGCGGCGACGCAGTGAGACGGCGCTGAGATCCCTCCCGATACGCCAACGGGTGAACTCCCGGCTTCAAATTAACTAATGACTTCAGATGCTGCCGATAGTCTGCAGGGGATGGGGAGGAGTGATTTACGGGGGAAGATTAAGCCGGCTAATTAGGGCAGCCTCACCGCTTAGGAGTTTCCCAGCCAGGCGGGGGGGGCCGTGCCAGGGAGGACCCAGTGGGGTGGGAAGGGATGGGGGCACCCCCCCGGTTCCTCCGTGCAGCCATGGGCACCCTGGCACCCTCCATCCCCAGGACCATCGCATCCCAACACGGGATGCTCGTGGGGTGACCCACACCTCCCCAGCCAGCACGGGGGGGTCCCCGCCTCCGCTCAGCCCACCCCAGGCTCCTTCATGGCCACTGTGAATTACAGCCTGTCTTCCCACCCAGGCCAAACTCCTCTTGCTGTTCCTATTAGCCCATCATTTTCATCATTCACAGACAACCCTCTGCTGCTAAAACATGAGGACAGGGCACACGTGTGCTGTGGGGACATGTGGGGGAACGTGCCCATGGCCACCAGGCAGCTGCCAGGGCTTGGTGGGGAGCGTGAGGTCAACCAAGGCTCTTCCAAATCCCAGTTACATCCCCTCCCCAGGAAGCGTTGGTTTCCAGTGGCTGGCCAAGTGGCACCGACTCACCGCTCTCACGTGTGACAAGCTGTGGCAGTCTCAGCCAGGGGAGCCTTTTATCGCGTTATGGGAAAGCTCTTGCAGCTCCCTCTTCCAGGAGCCCTGGATATAATAAAACAAGGCCTCCTCGGGCTTCAAAGCGGGAGGATTTTCACTGCCTCCCGGGGCGAGAACAAAGCTCTGCTGAGCAGAGCCAGCACTCCTTGTCTCTGCCCCTCGATGTGCATCGAGCATCCCGTCCTTGGGGCTCGGCGCTGGCACAGGGGGACGAGACCATGGGGAACTGCAGGTGGGTGTGATGGGGATGGGCTCCTCCTGTCCCGGGGCTGGACCAGGAGCGCCCCGAGGTGGGTTCTTCCCCTGGAATCACCCAGGTTTGGCCAGGGTGGCCGTGGGCAAGGCTGGAGGAGGGCTGGTGGCATCACCCACCTGCTGGGTGCCTGGAGACCCAGAGCCTCTGCCGTGAGTAACGCGGTTTCCAGCAGGGATTGTGTGCGTGACTGTGTAAATAACACAGTTAGAGGCACCGTGAAACCAGCTGTTTTCATGTTAAAATGGAAATTTAACAGAGTGACAAGCGGGGGCTGCGGCACGGGCTGCCTCCAGGAGACCCCACCAGCTGCTGCTAACACCGGGAGTGAGCTCCCCGTTGTGCCTGGAGCGGTGCAGGGAGGCACGGGGGGGTCCCTGCCCTCCCCCCTGGGGTCCCCAGATCCTGTGCTGGTACCCTGGGGACAGATGGGGATGTTTCCCAGACCCCTTGGGAGGAACAGAAGTCCCTTGTCACCCCTATCACCCTGGGGCTCCTGGACCCTTCCCTGCCCACACGGGGTCTGGGACAGGGATGCCTGGAGCCCTTTGTGGGGGGACAGATCCAGGGGGGCTCTGCCTGGCACGGGACCACCAGTCCCATCGATGGAAAATGGGGTTTTGGGGAAAGGGATGGCTGCTGCCCCCCAGCCCCTTCTCTCCCTCGTGCAAGGCCAAGTGCTGGGCCAAGGGGGGCTGCAATGCCCCGACTGCTCCCTGCACCCCGTGCTGCCAGCCCACGCTCCCCCTGGGAAACAAAAGGCCTTTGTGTTTGTGCAGACTCTGGAAAGAAAAAAAAAAAATAAAAAAATAAAAAAAGGAATAAAAAGACAAGAGGAAAGAGTCTGCACCCTCCCACACCCTAACGCCTTGTGCTGCGGCCGCCCGTGCCCTGCTTGAGCCACGCACAGCCTCCTCTGCCAGCAGCTACTCACTGCACGGTGTTTTTCTTTCCCCAAACCATTAATGAATTATTTAGGCATCTCCAGCAGTTACAGGAGGACGATCAACCGCTGCTCACCCCGAGCCACAGCTCCGCGGAGCTCCGGGCCGCACAGGGCAGCGTAAGGCTGTCTCTCCCCGCAACGCCTGCCCCGTGAGGAGAAGGAGCTTTTACCCCCCAGCTGGGAGGGGGAATTTCCCCTGCTCTGTCCCCGCTGCCCCCCCCAGCCCCGTCCTCCCCATGATGTGCTCCTCCTGCCAACCCCGCTGAGAAACCCGGCACTGATTTGTAAGGCGTGAAGGTAAATCTGCCCCTGCAACGATCCCCTGCGGCAAGTCACGGGCTAACCTTGGCTACCTGCTAACCAGCACGGGGCTGGCACGGCTACACAGACAAACCCCGGGCTGTGGCCAGCGCTGGCTGCACTTCACCAGCCATGGGACTCCACCAGGGTAACGCCAACCCCTGATAAAACAGCCCCCACCAACACACGCAGAGACTTGGGGTGTCTGACGGACTCAGCCCAGCTTCCCAAAGCCAGGCACTGCCCGGCATCCCGGCCAAGGCACCCTGTCAGCTTTCACCTTATAAATGACTTCCCCTGTGCCGAGGGAGGGGGCAGAAAGAGCTGAGGGGGGCAGGTGAGGATGGTGAGGGGGGCAGGTGAGGATGGAGCACGGACCCTGGCAAGCCTGTGTCTGGGTACCGGTGCCTGGGTCCTGTGATTTCCATGGGACAGTCCCCTCCCCGGGGAAAGCCCCCGTCCTGCTTCGGCCACTGCTGAATTTGTCGGATCACCTCACCCAGGCTCCATCATTTGGGAAAACAGACCTTTTCCACAAAGCACCCCCCACTTGCGGGTCCCAGCGATGAAAGCCCCGATGGGACCTGGGGGGGGGACCCCCCGTGAGCGGGAGGGAGCTCGCAGACATCGCCGCAGCCCTGGCTTCCCCTCCTTCTCCCCCAGCCCCACCACGCTCCCTGTGCCTCCCGCCCACAGCGGGGCCTCCAGCCACAGAAAAACACTCCTTTTTGTTTTAGTGCCGGGGCTGGTCTCCTCATGTTTATTTCCCTTTGCCGGGCGAGCAATTTCCCCTTCCCACACGGGCAGGGGCGGCCCGTGGCGGTGTCGAAGGCGGCCGTGGGGCTGGGGCCAGCGGTTGCCGCGCCGGCATTGCCGTATCTGAGCCGCCGGCAGGCCGCACGCCTGCAGGAAACATATGTCACCGGTTAAACACATCGTGAAAGCTTCAATCGCTTCCTTATGGCGGAGCCGGGGTGAATCCGTCCCAACAGCCGGCATCCCCTGCATCCTCTCCCGCCCCTCGCCCCGGCGGGGTGCTCCCCCCAGCTCCGTGCTCCCCCTGCCCCACAGATATGGGGCAGCCCCGTGGGAAACTGAAACACCACCCAGAAAGACAAACCGGTTTCTTGTCAGCACCTTGTTACCCCCCCCAACAAGACTCCTCTCTGCCTGCAAACCTGCCCCCCGGGGAGCTCGGGGGTGGAGAAAGCCTTCCCTCAAGCCTCCCCCCAAGTCAGGGTCCATCCCCAGGCTCCCCCCAGAGCCCAGGGACAGCCACCCTGGTCCCCAACCCCTCGCTGTCCCCTGGGGCAGCCTCGCAGGAGCCGGGCTGGTTGTGTGGGCAGGGGCTGTGCATGGAGGAAGGGACCCCCCAGCTCTGCCCATCCCCGAGGAGCTTCATGCAAAGCTTTCTCAGGGTGTCTCCTGGGGACCGGCTGCATCTCCCGGAGCAATCTGCTGGGCCGGGACGTTAATCACACCCTCTCCTGCTCCACCGATGGGACAGGAGAGCTCCCAGTGCCCATAAAGCCAGCGGCTGCCCCCCCTCCATCCCTGCGGCAGGGTGGGGGGCTGCCCGGGCAGGGTCCCTCCCCCCGCAGACACGGGGAGGTGTTGGTGAGACGATGCATCATCGGCAGCGTCTCAGCCCCCACGCTCGGCTTTCTCCCGTGGGCTGGAAGTTGCTTTTTTTGGAAGCCAGGCGAGCAGGGAAACTCACGTGGGCTGCGGCGATGAGGCTGGTGGCTGCCAGACCAGCCACGGGTGCCGTTGTGATGTCTCCATGTGCTGAGGAGCTTCCCGGCTCCTCTGCCACCATCCTGCCTTGCCCGGGGGTGCCCCGGCTCCCCATAGCCCCCAGCCACCTCCACAGCACCGCTCCCCCAGGATGGGATGGGATGGAGGGGAAAACTTGCCAGTAACATCTTCCTGACATGCCTTAGACAGCAGCCAACACCCCAGGCCTTCCTGGAATTGCATTTTGGTGAAATCCCTGTGCCCTCTCCAAAGGGCAGAGCAAGACAATGGCTCTATTTCTGCAGATGCAAACCCCCCCGCAGACCCCTGCCCGCTCTGGGCACTGGAGACCAGGGCTGGTGCCACGCCTGCGGTGCTCCCCGAGCTCTGCTCCCCGAGATGTGACAGCCTGTTGGCTTGGGACCGTTCTCCTGCCTCCCTGCTGGGAAGCAGGACCAGTCCCAGCATCGCACCTCCTGCTCCTTGGATCTGGGATGGCCTTTGTTCCTCTCTCCCTCCATCTCTTCTCTGCACAGACACTCTTCTGGGCTTCTTCCTCCCTTCTGCTCGCAAAGGACAAGGACCAAATCCCTGCTTGTGAAGGATGAGGACTAAATCCCTGCTTGGTCTCACCGGTGGGGTCCCCTCGGGTGCCTCTGCCCCAGGACCACGTGCTGTGTCAGTTGGTGCTGGCAAATCCCACCCCGGCCGGAGCAGTGACTCCCACCACCTCATTAGCGATGGGAGTAACATCCCCTGGGATGCTCTCCCCCCTCGCCTGGTTTCTAACGCATGTGGCAAGGGAGCCAGTCCCTTCCTGAGCCCCTGCCTCAGCGATGGGAGC